ATTTATATAAATACTGATTTTTTTATAAAAAGAGCAACTTTTACCCAAAATCAGGCAAAGTAGGCAGATTGAGTTGCTCACAGAATCACAGATTCATTCAGAGATCTATCTGTCTGCCATTGGCTAGCTCAGTCTGTCACATAAAATTTGCTTGCAAGGAAAGTCACAAAATTAACTCACAACACACCATGCATGTAAATATTGAATTTTTTATTTAACAAAAGAGCAACTTTTACCCAAAATCAGGCAAAGCAGGCAGATTGAGTTGCTCACAGAATCATTCAGTGATCTATCTATCTGCCATCGGCTAGCTCAGTCTCTCAAATTTGCTTGCCATGAGTTTGCACTGAATGTGCTTGCAAGCAAACCTTCAGTCCTAAGGGAAGTTCGGCTGTGCTGAGCCGAAGATCTAAAGACTAGCTAGAAAGCAAGAAATCCAACCATTTCCTGCTTCCTAGCTAATCTAAATCTCCCAGCACAGCAGAACATATGATGGTTGGAAAAAGGAAAAATAGCAATTTAGCAGGCAATTTCACTGGGTAAGGAGTGAGTGGGCGGGGAGGGTTCCCGCGGGCCATGTGGGTGGCGCAGCCTTGTGTTTCTGCACAGCCTGGATTAATTGCTTTGTGGAGGTGCTCTGGGGGTGAGATTTCTCTGCAGCCCACCAAAATTTTCTCACAGCCCACCAGTGGACCATGGCCTACCGGTTGGCAACCGCTGACCCAGGTCGTTACAACACAGGAGGCTGATAGACACACAGCCAATACCTCAGCCACACATGTTCTTACAAAAAAGCCAGCCAATCTGCAAACATCAACTCCATCAACCAATCAAGAAATGACAACACAGCCAACCTCCCCACCAGTATATATAGGGAGACAGCAGCTCCGATTACACTTTGCTCGCACAAGCACGAAGCCGAAAGCACCAGCCTGAAGATGGCGAGTGGGACCTCGTCGAAACGTTGCCAAGATACTCTCAATCTTACACGGGAAAAGACCCGAACATGCCAAGACCTGCATACCTGTACCCATGAAAATCTACGAATATATATATGTATATGTATGTGTGTGTGTGTGTGTGTGTATATATATATGTATATTACTGTATATGGTAATTATATGTCTTAATTCCTTAAGAATATTTCAGCATTAACATAACATATAATGCATTCTCTAATTAAATAATTCTCTTATTATTTGTAGAAGGATTTATCTTGTGGATACTGATCCACAAGAGAAACTTAGAAAATAAGTGTTAAATTTCATAGTTATAAAATATGTTGATTGTTTATATACACTACAAGTTGTCCTCAACTTGCAACCATTAGAGAGCATTTTAAGTTAAAGTGGCAGTGAAAATAGGGACAGACAACCAGTCTTTGCTCTTACAACTCTTGCAACATCCCCTTTTTGGTCATGTGATCAAAATTCAGGAGCTTGGCTACTGGCATGCATTTAGGACAGTTGCAGCATCTCAGGGTCAAGTGATCACTATTTGCGACTTTCCCAGCTGGCTTCTGACAAGCAAAGTCAATGGAGGAAGTTGGATTCACTTAACAACTGCATTATTCATTTTGCTGCAGTGATTTGCTTAATGAGAGCAAAATGGTTGTAAAATCGGACTTGACTCACTTAACAATCAACTTGCTTAGCAATGAAAATTCTGGTCCCAACTGTGGTTATAAGTTGAGAATTACCTGTGTTGCTATAACCAGTTTGTAAAGCATAGAAATGTTAAACACCAATTCAGTTATTTCTGTTTAAAGGTTTTTTTAATGTAATTGAAGTTTTTGGTGTTCTGGAGGGATTATCTTAAATGGAAAAATATAATAAAGCTAATCCATTCTGTTCCTTACCCCCTCAGGCTACAACAATCATGGCAACTAGAGATACATGCTGATTATGTAAGCGAACCTTTAAACCCCTTCGACTTATTTTGCCCAGCTTGGCAGAAGGCCTACTGAACAGATAATTTGTAGCTGGGAAGTGGTATGCCAGAGGAAGGAAGTTTCAGAAAGCTACTGCTGCGTGCGCTTACATGTTCCTTGCCACTCTAAAACCTCTTTTGCCCAAATACCATAGCTATGGATTGTCAAATGTGGCGAATGGATTGCCAATGTGGGGAATAGTTGCAGACAATTTCTTTCCTTTTCCCTAATTGTGTATGTCAATGCGATCTGGCTGCTCTCTTTTGGAAAAAAAATTCTAACTTTCAACTCATCCAGAAAAATAATACTTGTATGGATGGCTTATAGTATGACCCAAATTTTCTTTAAGTTTGCTATTTTCAGATACACACACATTCAGTTTTACACACACACGCACACACACACACACACACACACACACCACATTCAGTTTAAATGAATCTTTAAAGAATGGGTAAATGCTGGTGTTTTTTTTTTATACCTTGCTATTGCCCTTTATGATGTAATTGATGATTCAAGGATTTCTAAATCTCATATTATAGGATGTTTAATTTACTGTGGGTTCAGGATAGAATTGCTTAATTTCATAGGATGTGGTTACCATTTGAAGCATTTAGAGAGAAACCCTGTATTTAAGTTAAAAGTAGAAGAATCTTAGAGGCAATTGGCATTGTCTGTTGCCAACCAATTACGATAATATTATGATAGTTTTTTACATGGTATTTGGTACAGAATTGGCATTTTGAGTAGAAATAAAAATCTTAAATGTTTTCTGTGATTATTTTTCTCTGTGCATTTAAATAAATTATTCATAAGAGCTGATCTTGAATAAATCTTTCTGAATTACGCATGCACAGAGGCTAGTGTATATCAATTTGTAGCAGTACTGAAGGAGATATGGCTTAATATTAAATATAGGCAGTCCTTGAGTTACAATCACAATTCAGTCCAAAAGTTCTGTTGCTAAGCCACACAGTTAAGTGAATTTTGTCCATTTTATGACCAGTCCCCTAGTTTGGATGACTATTTTATGTGTTATTTATGTGGCTGGAGTTAGGCTGTGGGAGCTTCAAGTACTACTTATATTTGTACTATTTTATGCTATTCATTTGCTATTTATTATGTTTTTTTAATTGTGTATCAGCTGCTTGGAATTTCAAAAGAAATAGGTGGCAATATAAATTAATTTGATAATTTTTTTTAAATAAATGAATAAATCAAAGATTTAGGTCAACTGAAATGAAAGTTGTAATTGTTTTATATTGTTTGACTACTGTGTTGTTGTACTAATACTAATCAAGAATCAACTGTAGTTGATTTTCCCCTTGTTACTTCAGAAGAGAGGTTCCTAGTAAAATCTTAAGAGTTATTTATTGCTAAACTACAGTACCAAGAAAATATTGTTTATCTTACATCCCTAATACATTTACTACTTTTCTCTTAAGTTAACAGAATAGCAGAGTTGGAAGGATCTTGGAGGTCTTCTAATCCAATGCCCTCCTCAAGCAGGGGTGTCAAACCGCGGGCCAGATGCATCATGTGTAGCCCATGCCCACCTCAGCTCCATGAAAAGAAAAAAGTCACGAAATACCATGTAATGACAACGTGATGTCATAATTTTGCCACTCAGGATCTATACCATTTCAGACAAATGGTTGTCCAAACTCTCCTTAAATATCTCCAGTGTTGGAATACCCACATCTTCTGAAGGCATTGTTCTTAGATTATTTGCCTGCTTTTTTACAACTAACTACCTATTCTATTTTTTTTTAAAATGCTCATATCTTCTCGATATGAAAATACCTAGCATCTCCAGTTTAAAAAAATCAAATGCAATATGATTGGATGGCTCTTTGCCTAAGACTTTAGAGAGCAGCCTCCCCAAGTGAATGATATCATCCCCTTGACTTCACATCAAGCAGAGGTGATAGCCATGATAGTAGGGAAAATGAGAATTGATTTCCAACACATCTGGAGAACATTAGATTGGGAAAGTCTGGTGTATATAATGGGCTAGATGAATAAATAATCACATCTGAGATAGTTTCTTATATTCCTAGAAATATAGGGTATAAGAAATTATTGGCTTTAAACAAGTTGGGTACGATATCTAAATTTATGCTTAAGGAAAAATAAGCAGGGGTAACATTGATCTTTCAAAAGTATTTTGCTAATTTTGTTTTGATGGGGTTTCACCCCTTCCAATTACTGAAAACATTTCATGTATAAAATCTTCAAAACAGCCTGTACTGAAGGATGTTTTTTTTTTAAACCACTAAGAGACTTATATTGTTCTACTCCAGTCTTCCAAAACCTGTTGCCTTCTATACATTTCAGGCCAATTTTGGGTATGTAGTCTGGAAATTCTGGGATTTGTAGTCTTCACTTATTTATGGATACTGAGCTAGGAAAGATTGCTTAAACCAGATGTTCCAATTATACCTAAGCAACCACCTGGTTCCCAGGTTGCTCACTTAACTAGTACAATGTCCTGGAGTCTCATTTAAGTTCATTATCACCATTTAAAATACATGCAATTTTATATAATGCTCAGTCTGAAAGTATATGTAAACCCACAGCAAATCCAGTCAACTAAAAAAATTAACAGACTGACTAAAGATTAATATCTGGTTAAAAGATTAACATATGCATGGTTTACTTTAAATAATACACACACATGAATAACAAAATGATTTCTGCAGGCAATGGTTAGAAAAATATTTACTGTTTTATGTTAAATTTTGTCAGTGAAATAATTGAAAGATGAACTAATGTTAATAGTAAAAATATAAATACATGAAGTTGCATTTATACAGATACATATCTAGGTATCTAACAGAGGATACTTAACTGAACAGATAATAATATAGTAAGCGCACAATTCATATGATTATTGAGACAAGCCAGCAAGTTAGTTTTGTATCCTATTATTGACACATGCAAAGAATTTGCCCCAATTTCTCATTAAGGTTGTTCCAAAAATAATTTTCCTGGGAAGGTGAGCATACATTTGCAATAGTGATATGGATGTCAGCAGAATTAGGAAAAGTCAGTGGTAGACACTACTTACTGTAATTTGTGATTGTCGGGGAAGACTTGTTGCAGTTGGTGTAATAGTGATGCTGCTGGTAATTTTGTTGACAGATTTACTTGGTGTTCCATTTGGAGTTCTGTTGTCTTGCTCAGGAGTGCAAGAACTATTGTTTTTTATAGAATTAGAAATAGTTTGTGCGTAAGGATTTCCTAAATGAATGTGTATTTTATTATCTTCAGTAGTTATTACATTAGAATTAGAACTGTTGGATCTTTGAAACTGCACAGATGATTGCCTTTCGGGGGATACTTTGAAGACAGTATGCTTGTCAGTCATTTCCAAGGACACCGGTGAAAGTAACTGCTCAGGGGAACTTCTACCTGTCAAAGCCAAAGGAGATATTGTTCTTTCAGAGATTACAGAACCACGTGATTCAGGTACTTGAGATCTAGCAAAAGTGGTCATAGTAAGAGGTGACATGGTTTGCTCTTGAGCTGGGTAGACATCAGGTAACTTAGATTTTATAGGAATTAAAGACTCATTTTGAATTATAGTTATCCTTTGCTTTGATGTGCCAGAATTGGGTATCACAGCTGTACTAGTAAAAGAGTGGGAATTCACTGAAATTGGGCTTGTTATTTCAAGCATGGCTGTATTTTGCTCATGATCAGGAGTGACCTTTATATGAAGAGGCTGGCCTGGTGTTTGGCTTAAAACTAAGTTTCCAGGCTGAATACAATTCCCATTCTGCTTGGCATAAATTCTTCCATTTTGAATGTGGCTTTCTTTGGATTTCATCCAAGGGATCCAAAGTTTGCTGTTATTTGCTACATTTGTAATGGAAGAATCACTGAAAGATGTCATTGATTCATCATCATTATCATCTTCATTATCACTCTCTTCATATAAATGTCCATTTATGACAGCTCGTTCCAAAGGAACTAGACTCTTGTAATCAGGTAGTTCATTGTGAACTGGCTCTGTTTGTACTTCCTTGGAGGCAACTTGCAAGTCAGAGATTCTCCTTCCATTGAGACTTGGTCGCAGGCTCTTACTGAAACGCCTATATCTCTCCAATTCTTTCTTAAGAGTTTCCATTTCTCTGTCTAATTCTTTGTTTTTATTTTCTTGTTGAGTAAGTTTCTTTTGCAAGATTCTCTGGTCTTCTCTTAAATGACATATTAGATCTTCTGTTGCCATATATTCATGAATTTTCTCTTTCAATGCATCTACTTCCCTTGAAAGATGACCTGACTTGGCTGTTTCTTCCTTGAGTTTTCTGAATAGTCTCTGCTCGTGGTTGCATTCTGTCTTTTCTGCTAACTTATAGCGTGCCAGTTCTCTCTTCACTGTCTCAAGTTCCTTTGATAAAAATCTGGTTTTGTCTTGTTCGTTAACATATTTGCGTTCTAAAGATTCAAATTCATCTTCAGTTTTCATGAGATCATCTTCTATGGCCTTCATTTCTTTCAGTTTATGTTTCAGCTTTTCAATTTCTTGAACTAGTTCTTTAATCTTGTTGTTTTCTTGCTGGAAAGCTGGGTTAGGTTTTGTCTCTTTAAGTTTATTTTTAAGAAATTCTTTTTCTATAGTTTCCAAGGACTGAAGCTTTTTTCTTAGCAAATTCATTTTAGAGGAGAGATCGTTTCCCTTCTCTTCCTCTATTTTCAGTTTGTTTTTCAATTCATCTCTCTCCCTTGTAAGGTTGGTCATTTTTTCTTCAGCATCATTTTTAAATTTTAGTGCTTTCTTACTCTCTTCAATTAATTTTTCTGTGACTGACATAACTTTTTTTTGTTCCAACTGCAGCTGTAAATTTGCAGTCTGTACCTTTTCTTCCATTTGTTTTATTTTTTCATTCATTGTTTTCCTTTCGTCTACAAGCATTACAGTTAATGATTTCAATTTAGACAGATCTTCCTTAAGCATGAACTCTGTTTTTTCTAATTTATTCTCAGTGGTTTCAAGGTCTGCTATGCGAGCTTTTAGGCCATCAAGATCCAGTGACAGTTGCTTTGTTAATGTTTTTTCTTTTTCTAGATTACATTTTAAAGAGGAACATTCCTGATTGCTCTTGGTGAAAGCATCCTCCAGTTTCTCAAGATCCATAATTCTCTTATTGAGTTTATCAACTTCTACTTTAAAATTTTTACTTTGTGTGGTTTCTTTTTCTAGTCTCTTATGAAGCTCTCTACATTGCTCTTCCAATTTTATTAGTTCCTCATCTTTTCCTTCCATCTCTAGGATTCTTTTCCGGAGTACCTCCACTTCAGAGATGAGGGTAGAGTTTCCACATTCCCCTCTGTGGATTTTCTCTCTTAGTTCTTGCAGTTCTTCTTCTGCCTTTCTTAAAGACTTGTTAGTTTCTTCAAGCTCATCAACCTGTCGACTAAGAACTGTTAATTTTAAGCGGAGCTGACGATTTTGGCTCTCTTCATTGGTTAATTTGGCCATTGTAGCTTCCTGTTCTTGGGAAGTTGTTCTGATTTGTGTTTGAAGTTCTCCTTCCAACCTGAGAGCTTTCTGCTCCTGTTCTTGGGCTTTTGATTCTGCAATGGATATTTTTTCATGTGCTTGTTCTGCAGAGGTGGTTAAATCTTGAATTTGTTCAGTTTGCTGACTCAGTTCTTCTGTTAAACGTTGTTGCTCATCTACTAGCATTAAAGTGAATGATTTCAGTTTTGTTAGCTCTTCCTTCAGTTTGCTTATTTTCTTGCAGTTCTCTTTTTCTCTTTTTGCTTGATAAATTGCATCTTGTTCAAGAAGCTTTTTTAATCTGAAAAAAAGAAAGAAACTTACTTTTAGTTGTAAAAGTACTTAAGATATTAAAAAAGAATTGTGTGTTACACGAGGAAATAAAAATATCCAGCAGGATGGCAAACCATTTTATATCATTATCAAAAAAGCTAAATAGATGTTTTCATGTCTTGAGAAATCAACCTAAATTTAAAGGAGACTTTACCTTACATCTTATATAAATACTTGACATATTTATATAAATATGTCTTATATAAATATTTGACATTTTTCTTTTGGAAATTTCAGAAACATACATATTAGTATTAGATAGCTTTTTCTAAACACAAAAACAAAATATTTATTGAATTCATCTTCCATTAAAAGATCTATATTTTGTAATCTGTTCCTTTACATTCGTAATAATTAATTTTCTTGCTGTTTTACTTTGAAACTACTATTACACTGTTTTAAAGTGAAGGCATTAAATAGGATCTCGGGGTAGTATTAGATGGCATGGATCACCTTAATTTATACAATTTATCATTCATCTTGGGATGAAGAATGTATTAATATCATTCGACTATCTTTTGTTAGAGATAACTGGGACCTTCTTGAACTTAATAAAATGGGATATTGAATCGTATTGTTTTGCAATATTTGTCTCAATGAATGTGAAAGTACGATTAAAATGCTGCGGAATTCATAAAAATTAAACTATTTGCTTTCCCCAGTCTTATCTAACGTATATATTTTTGCATTAGTATTGCAGTGACATTATAGTCTATTTCCTTGTTCTGTTTTCAACCATGAAAGAAAAGGGTTGTTTTCCTTTTATTTTCTCTTGATTCCTAGTTGTATGATTTAAACACACACACACACACACACAGGTTTGCGTGTGCACACACAGAATTTTTTTATGAATCACTTGGAACTTGTTTTAAATTCTTAAATATAGAGAGAAATGTCTCTACGGCCAAGAAATCAGTGAGTCATATGTAAGCAACAAACAGGTGGTTTTGGCAATAAAAGGCACTCATGCTTGTGAACACAATATTTTTTTCCATTAAACTGGTGCAAATTTTTAATGTCCATGTGCTTTACATAAAACAATTGATAAGTAATCCAAATAAATGTACTCAAGTGGAAATCTTAATGTATTGTATATTGCTTATGTTTTTAAAAAAATCAATTCAACATCTGTGGTTTTAATTTTGGTAATAAAATCGGGACTATTCCTGGAAGAATTTTGTCATCCTACTTATTCCAAAAGAAAATTCATTTAGGAATAAAAACAGGGAGGGTCTTAACATGTTGGAAACATTTTTGTTCTTAGTTAAGCAAAAAGATAATGGAGTTAAAACCTGGTGGGGATAAATATCTACTCTTGTATCCCTGACGTACATCTGTTTTAAAAAGAGAGGAACTTATGTAAAAACACTTTGTAAAGGAAATATAGATTATTCAGTTTAATTCAGTAACTAGTAGTATGGGGGAAAAAAAGAAATATTCTTTCTCTATGAAATATAATTTATAAACTTAATACTGTACATTATTATTGACATCTATATATTACTAAAATCCTAATGTCTGTAACCTTTAGCTGGATGAAACAATGCATCATAGAGCAACAATTTTTTAAGGAAGTTTAAAAATTAGCTGAAATACAGATTGCATCCAAAATCCAGGATGCATAACTCAAGTGTGTTTAAAGTTTGGCAAATTATATAAAAATTTGATGAAATTAAAATTATGTTTTATGACATGATACAAATGTGTATTCCTACGATCAGGTCCTGATGCTTGACAGTACTGTCCAGTTCAGCATGAGATGCTTTCAAGGCAGATCCATCTCTAAATGTCTCCTTGAATGTTTTAGAAATTTTCAACCACCTAAGAAACTCTGCCATTGTTGAAGGAATCTAGTAAATAAATATTTCTGAAATGATGAGCCATAGGGTCACGGTTTGTCTGCTAACTTATTAAATTTGCTTTCTATATTTGAATTCCAGAATAATTAAAATCTATAATATTAAAAAAGAATAAATGAGCAGTAAACAAAATTAAAAACAGTTGTATTTTATCCTTGTCATTAAAGATTTGATTGCTTTTTATTTTTCCTTGTGTCCAACTTAAGATTGGTGAGGAGAATTTGTTAAATATTTCTTCTTTTTTCTAATGCAGTTAAAATGACAGCAAGAATAGTTGTGGTACTGACAGTGTGAAAGTTATTGTTAAAGTACAAAAGACATTTAGAAAATTATTGTATGTTAATATGTTTTCTGAATTTATTTGAATAAACTGCACGTATTTATTTTTTATATATAAATACATGACAATATAAATACTGTTTAAAAAAAGGTAAAGGTTTCCCTTGTCCAGTCATGTCTCACACTAAGGATCAGTACTCACCTCCGTTTCTTAGCTGAGGGAGAATTTCTGAAGACATTTCCATGGTCATGTGGCCAGCATGACTATATGCCGAGGCGCACGGAGCACTGTTACCTTTCCAACGAAATGGAACCTATTTATCTGTTCATATTTGCATGCTTTTGAACTGCTAGCTGGAGCAAGTAACAGCTTATGCTGTAGTGCATCACTTGATTCAGTTTTCCAGCTGATTTCCAGCTGTAAATTCTCTGCAATTTAAAATATTTTTATCCTGCCTTTATACTTACTATAAATTTAATTATCCTATTCATATGTAAACTAAATTTACAATGACTGAATGAAAGGTTCAAAATATTTTTAAACATAGTTGACAGCTTAAAGCAGAACCAAGTGGATTATAAGACTAAAAAATTATTGGATTTTGCAACAGAAATTAAATTATTCATAGGTACTTCTGGTTATACACATTGTAGTGCAGTAGTAATGATAAATCCTCTATCTCTGATTAATGGTTTTCTTGATGGTATATAGAATATTCAGTTGTTGATGAAACTAAACTGAATGGTTGTTTATTTGTCAGGGACTAAAATTAAATTTATAGAATACCTGACAACTGGGATAAGCAAGCATGAGATAGGAAACTAAAGGAAGTAGACAATTGAATAAGGAACCCATGAAGAAAGACAAAACACACAAGAAAAACCAAAAGATTTATAAAATAAGATTCAAAGAAAATTAACAATGCTCAAAATCAGCAAAGCAGATTTTCTCACTAAGAGAAAAAGAATGAAATGATGGTGGTGTTACTCAAGAGACAAAGGTTATAATTTGTAAATGATATATAATATAGTGTATGCTTATATATACATATATATATACACACTCTGTGTGTGTGTGTGTGTGTGTGTGTGTGTGTGTGTGTGAGAGAGAGAGAGAGAGAGAGAGAGAGAGAGAGATCCCTATGGGCCAGGCCCATCCCACCTATGCCTTGACTAAGGACTGGCAGCATGCCTTCCCCAGCATGCAGATTCTGTTAGTCAACAAATTCTGTTGGTTTGGGGTCCTAATGGGGGAATACCACACTGGAGGTGATTGATTGACTAATAGCAGCTCTCCTCACTCCCATACATTCTGCTCCTTTCTTCCCCATATTTTAATTTTAGTTACAATCTGATAGATAGATAGATAGATAGATAGATAGATAGATAGATAGATAGATGATAGATAGTTTTCGCGGGTATTTACATGTATAGTATTCAGCTTTGTTCGGGTATTTTCCCACATCATTATAGTTGTGCTTTTAAAGTTGTAGCAACGTTTCACCAGAATCTCATCTGCCATCATCAGGCTTCTGTATAGTGTTCGTCTGTGAGTCAGACTTCACAGCCATTTCTGTTTTAAATTTAGTGCTAGCCTACTGCTGTGCCAGAATGGTTTTTTCTTCATCCTGATTGGTTGGGAGTCTTGGTCTGTGTTTATTGGTCTTGGAGTTTGCTGTGTTCTGCTTGATTGGTGTTTCTAATATCTTCTGTTTGTTTTGTAGCTTTTTTTGTCTTGATTGGCTGGCAACATTGTGTTTCCTGTATTGGAGGCTTTTAGTGAGGCTTGGCTCCGAGTAAATGGACGGCTATCATTTATTAGGAAGCTAGGTTTCATCTGGGTGCCTGGTTGGGGTGTGTTTGAGCTGGAGGTATCAGGGAGGATCTGTTTCTGCCCAGGTGTTTGCTGTGGTGTGGATATTTTTTTTTTTTTTTGTGAGTGCAGGCTTCCAGATAATTGACAGTCTGGTGGAATCATCTCTTCTATTCATGCTTTCAGGTCTTTTTTCAATCTCTATGGCTTCTCTGATAATTCTGTAGCTGGGGTTTTCTATAGTGGCTAGGGTTTTGGTGCCATTGAAGTTGATGCTATGATCTGTGGCTTTCATGTGTTGGACTAGTGAGGAAATGCATTTACTGCATTTTTATCTAGGCGGGTACTTATTCTTCTATTGGTCTGTCCAATGTATGTGGCAGGGCATAGTGCACAGGGGACTTCATATATGCCTTGGTTTTCCAGGTCCATTTTATCTTTGGGGTTTCTTAGGATGGCTGCTATTTTTCTGTCTGTTTTGAAGGCAGCCTTGATGTGATGCCTGTGTAGTATCTTAATGATTTTTGTCTGTAGTATCTCTTATATAGGGCAGGACAGCTGTTCCATAGGTCTGTTCATCTTCTAGGTCTCCATTATGTCTCAGTGTGTTTTTGTGGATCAAGCCAGTGATTTTGCTTTTTTGGAAGCCGTTGGCTGTCAGTACTTTAGTCAGGGTGCATAGTTCAGTCTTTATGTGTGTCTTGTCTGCCAGGTGTTTGGTTCTGGCAATTAGTGTTTTGGCCACGGAGTTTATTTGTGCTGGGTGGTGGTGGGATTGGGCGTTGAGGTAGTAGTTGGTGTGTGTTTTCTTCTGGTATATGGTGTGTCCTAGTGTGCCATCTGTTTTTTTTGTAGATTAGTACATCTAGGAATGGTAGTTGTTTGTTTGTTTCTGTTTCCATGGCGAATTTGATTTTGGGGTGTGTTCTGTTTAGGTGTGTTAGGAAATTGTTTAGGTTTTCTTTTCCATGGGGCCAAATAACAAATGTGTCATCAATGTATCTTAACAATAGTTTG